TTGGGAACTTCAGTCCAATGAAGTATGGCACTCCTGACGTATTTTTTAAAACTTATTTGTTAAAACATCATATTCCTGCCTGTATGGTGGGATCTCAATTTAAGACAATAGAAATAAATTAGATGTAACAGAAACATATTAAACAATCTGACAAGTTAAAAACATTAGTTTTAAAACAAGTTAAAAGAGATTATAAAAACATTTTCTTTGTGATGCAGAGATGCTGGAATAGCATACCAAAGTGACCTAATGAAACAATGTAACATAGCATCATATAAAACAGGCATGGGCAAACTTTCATCCTCCGGGTGTTTTGGACTTTAACTCCCATAATTTCTAACAACCTACCAGCTGTTAGGAATTATGGGAGTTGAAGTCCAAAACACCTGGAGGGCTGAAGTTTGCCTATACCTGGTATGAAGCATGGGGCAGTTTTCAGGCTGCTGGCAGTTCTGGGCTGAGGTTTTGTCAGGAAAATATAGTGGACCACTGTCGCACTTTTGTAATGGACAGAGGAGCAGATTTTATGTGGTTTGACTACAGTGATTTTCAAGCAGGATTGCAGGTAGTGCATGGATGGGCCACACTTCTGTTTCACTCTGAGGTTGACAAGTAGTGTGGTCGAATAAAGAGAGGCTGGATCAGAGATGTGGAGATGCCCACATAATTTATTTTGCACCCTTAACATTTTCAAGGTGAGGTAAATAATTAGAAATAAATACAACACATCAGGACACAACGACAAAAACCATTTTTTTCTGGCTGCTAACACCACCATATAATTTGATGTTTGCCTATTCAAAGGGGATAAGCAATACTAGTTCCTTGGGTAAGTATTTAGATGACTGGTTAATTCTGTGTTAGAATTGGCAGCTGTTAGGAATTATGGGAGTTGAAGTCCAAAACACCTGCAGGGGCAGAGTTTGCCTATATCTGGTATAAAGCATGGGGCAGTTTTCCAGCTGCTGGCAGTTCTGGACTGAGATTTTGTCAGGAAAATATAGTGGACCACTGTCGCACTTTTGTAATGGACAGAGGAGCAGATTTTATGTGCTTTGACTACAGTGATTTTCAAGCAGGATTGTTTCAGCAATAGCAGGGCAGGGAGCATGGACACTTCTGGGAGTTGCATATGCTACCTGCAGATCATATCTCGCCTATCCATGTTCTAAGACTTGAGAAGGAATATATACAAAGACACAAACCATGACATGGTGAGGAAAAAGTCAGATTTTATTGTTGTTTCATGGATTGACAGAAGTAGGGGTTAAACACTTCCCATAACACTGATAAGTGCTTTAAGTAACAAGTGCTTCGAGAACGTCCTACCCTTCAAGGATGCGCAGATCCTTGGAGCAATCCACCTCTGCACCACCCCAGCAGAGAGCTGCCCTCCCTACTCAGTGTGTATTCCATGTAATACAATTGCTTTGATTTCTGCAAGTCTGTAAACTGTTACCTTTCACTCTGTAAAGCCATGACACATGAGAGCTGCATTATTTTGTTGTGCTATGTTTTAGGGGAAGGCATAGGTTCATGTTGCCAAGCTGCTCTTTGTAATTTAAAATGGTTTTGGAGACATTTCTTCATAAAGCAAGATCCAGTCATGGAACCAAAAAACAACAGAACTGGCAAAATTGACTGAAGTGATGCATGACGGCTTGTGCTGTACGTTTACTACTACAGGCCAGAATTGTTGTGGGGCTGTTCCATTAGAAAATTGAATTAAACTGTTTATTCTATTTGATTTGGCAAAACCTAATGGGGAAAGTAGGATCCAGGTAGATTTTCTTTACCACATGATTCCTAATTTCTGCTTGTTCTATGAGGTAATCACAGCTGGACAGAGAAAATTACCATACCCCAAGGATTTCCTCCAAGTATGTATAAGTAAAAGAGCCATGAAGAGGGAAAGAAGATACAGTATTTAAAAAACAGACATATGGGCCCGCAATTTGAATCCTGTCTCAGTTGTAAGCCTTACCCTTCCTCTTTCTGCTTTCCAAGAGGTCCACTTATAAAACAAAGTCACATGAACTAAAGTTGTTATTTTTCCCTATCGTACTGAAAATGCAAAGCAACATTAGATGCATAATTGTTCTGGAGATTCATATGAGTATGTGTACACATTCGGCCATACACCAAAGTCAGCTAGCACATCTGTAACTGGTTTTCCCTTGACACTATAAACTCGCAGGACCACTTTCTCAGAGCTTGCCCTGAAGAGAAAAATCTACTCTTGTGCTGACTATGGTGAAGGAACTACTACACTGTCTTCCTGCTCTTAAAAGTGTTCCGTGTCTTCACCCTCAAAACAGACAACGCATGCACCCTCCCAAAGATTTAAGGCTCCAACTGGTTTTTAAAAGATAACTCAAGAACAAGGGGTGGGGGGCTGTTTTTGAGTTCCGTTGAGTGGAAAAGAGAGGATTCAGATGTCAGCCTGAGCTCAAAGCTGGTTAGGTTAGAGAGAAAAGAAATGGACTCAGAAAAACCTTCAGCTTTAGAAAGACTCTGAATGAAGAGGACGGAAGGGGAAAAAAGGTATGAATGAATGTTGCCCTCATGGCCATGCTGTCTGTATTTTGTTGTATTAGCAGCATATTCTCAGGAAATATCATTCCTCACCTCTGTTCGGTTTTGTGCTGAGCTAGGCTAAAAGTTGGTTGTAAGAAGGTATTTGGTAGCCCTGCCTTGGCATCTATCTCTGGAGCAAGGTATTCGCCTTCCTCTTTTGATGAAGAAGGGCAGCTCAGAGTCTATGGCCTGAGGTAGATGGCCTGCTTTGCTCTTCCTTCCCTCTCCTTTTTCAAGGCCACTTTGTGTCATTTTCTCTTAGCACGGAGATGAATATTTAGCCAAGAAAAGTGCATTAAACGGTAGTGCATGGATGGGCCATACTTCAGTTTCACTTTCAGGTTGACAAGTAGGGTGGTCCAATGGAGAGAGGCTGGATCAGAGATGTGGCGATGCCCACATAATTCTTTTTGCAGCCTTAGCATTTACAAGGTAAGGTAAATGATTAGTAGAACATATACAACACATCAGGACACAACTACAAAAACTATTTTTTTGGTTGCTAATGCCACCTTATAATTTGATGTTTGCCTATTCAAATGAGATAAGCAATACTAGTTCCTGGGTAAGTATTTAGATGACTGGCTAATTCTGTGCTAGAATTGCCATAATGTTATGCTGTGCCAGGAAGGCTGAATTTGTAGTTCTTTTTTCTCCTAACAGTATGTGGTTATTTCAGTTGAATAATAAAGAATATACAAAGCCTGCAGCTCCAGTATCACAGCTCTTTATGTTGGAGGAAACTAAATTATACAGCAAAGAGGCAAATCACATGGCCCTCTCCATTTTGTTGGACTGCAAGTCCCACAATGAAAGTTGAGGTTCAACACTATGCAGAAGTTATATGTGAATACCTGTCTCTCCATTTCCCACAGCAAATGCAATTAAGCTGTTATTGCTCATGCTGTGCCAGCAATAGCAGAACCGCAGGCGCATGTTTTACTATTTTCCCCTGTGGGCAATAGGCAGGATTGGTCTTAATCACACATACCAGCTACCATTAAGGCCAGTCAAATCTGTGGACCTTTTGTTATTGGCATGTCAACATCAAAATCAAGTCAAAACAGAGATATTAAGTTAGGCTAAATTAGTTACATATTCCAGCTGTTGAATTAAGGCTTTCAGAAAACAGATACTATTTTGCAAAATGTCTAGATTTTCATAGTTCTAGAATAAACAGTATTTAAGCAACAACAAAAAGTCCAGAAGGAGACATCACACAGATCTGATTATTTGGCATTTTCTCGACTTGAGATGTGTCACAAGTGGACATTGAAATCTCAATCTCTCTCTCTCACACACACATACACAATGTATTGTTAGTGGCAAGTGTGACATTTCAAAGCTGATTTAATAAAGAACATTTCAGTCCATTGGTAAAACAGAAATAGAATGACCGCTGATTTCTGTTTCTAACTCAATAAAGTAAACTCCAGACTCAGTAGTCATCAAAATAGATAACAAGATGACACTAATTGGTGAAGCATCCATCTCTGCTGCATCCCAAGCACATTAAGGAATATGTTGATTAATGGGTTAGTGGAGCAATGATGGGGGCCAGCTTCTTTCAAGGGAAAGAACTATGGCTTTCTGTTTCTAAATTCCACAGATAGAAGGGACGTTTCCCCATCTAGGCACAATTTACAAGAACTAGGGAAAAAGCAATAAAAGGCAGTATGTGGACAGGAAGGTTTTGGCACAATAAGAAGCCATTTCTGTAAGTTGTGTGCTATTGATTTTAATTATCTCAACAGGAAACTCCAAGAAGGCAGTTTTGAAGTACCATACTAACAGATGTCCTACTCCCTGTGCCGAATAGTACAATCAGTCCCTACTAATACCAAGCATTTAGAAGTCAACAATAGAGGAATGTGTAATCTATTTTTGAAAAAAAGATTTACCAGTACACGTTCTGAAGATAGTGGGTGAACAAAAAGTTTTGCTTTCCTCTTACAAGAGTTCTCTTATCAAACTCTAATCCAGGAACCAAGAATCTGAGGGTAGTGAAAATAATTTGGAACAATTACAAGAGGTTCTGCTCATCATGGAACAGTATTTCTGTCAAAGCAAATTCAGTTTAGACTGAGTAAGTGAACATCTAATTGTCTGAGTAAGTGAACATCTAATTCAAGAGCAAAAAAGTCACTTATTACTGAGGTAGATGCAGTTATCTTGATGTTGCAGGTGACAAAAAGGTAAAAGAAAACAAGGATAGACATTTACAGGATTGCAAAACAGGAAGTTGCTTAAATATGCACCTGCAGAAGTTTAAATTTCCAACCACAAACACCACATCACACACAACAGTCAGACATCCTCACCAACGTTCTATGGTCAATGGGCAACATGATGGGAAATTAAAAGCAACCAAGTTTGGGGAAGAAGAGGAAGGAAGTATCCAAGACAAAGGGTTCTTGAGGGTATGACACATCTACCACTTTTCAGAATAAACTGGAGAAACAGTTGTATGAATTACTGGGACAGATATCCTGGCTAAGTAGATATCTAGTGTCAGACACAGACTTTAAGAGTTCTATATGCCTTAGAACTGGACTCACTACACGATTTGGAGACCTGTCAGGCCCTGTAGAAGAACCCTGACAGTGCAAGCATGCAGGACCCGTGTCCCTTGGTCCAGTTGGGGACACTGAGGCATAAGGCAACTGCACATGTATCACTGGATCTTATCCAGAGGAAAAGAATGCCAAAGGAAAGGACAAATGCTCCACAAAGGTAGAGGACTATAAAACATATCCAAACAATGGCTTTGGTTATGGTGATGATCTCAAACAGTCTGACTGATTCCAACAAGATTCCTATTCCATGACATCATTAGGACCACTCTGATGTGAAGCATATTCATGGAGAGACAGTGCACAAGGATACAACATTTGGAACACATTTTGGATACCCCATGACCTTTGAAGGACAGTAATAGAGTAGCATGTTAGTGATCTTCCTCTACTAGAGAAAAGTTTTCACATACCAAACCACTGTCTACTGAAGATGAAACATCTTTTTGGCAGCTGAAGAGTCATCATTTGTAAAATCATAGGGAGAGCCTTTGAAAATCCTTTGTTTCACCAAGACGGACATAAAATTATATCCATTTGCAATCTACAAGATAACAGCATTCACATTCCTTCAAATAAAACACAACTGAACACACAGGCAAAAAGGAGCGTTGAGTGCTATGTCAACTCCTTTTTCACATGATGCCAGCATTGTAGAATTCCAATATGAGGCACATCGCATTTACTTTGTGTGTGTGTGTGTATCCATCTTGACCTCATTTTAGTTTATTAGGATTAGATTTAAGGCTTTCTCATAATTCATGTGGACAATGTTGTTACTAACCTGGAGATCAAAAATAAAGAAGTCTTGCAATCTGAATTACTTCCTCCATATTTTGTCATTTTGGTTCATATTACATTATGACTTATGATATGATAATAACTGTTCAGCGCATGTCTAACATAACATTATCCCTACATCTCATAGCACCCTGTTCAGTAATCTGGGCACATAAAGAATGCTCAACACTTCATTGTGTACAACAGCATTAACAACGGTTTTGAGGGCCAAGATTGGCTGTTGGTCTCCTAGTATGTGATTGTTTGGGCATATCCCTGTATTGCTGGGGTAAACAGTGCCATACTTTCAATGCAATATGTTACGATTAAGGCTTTTCTTTGTTTTTTTGCGATCATACATACCAGCAGTGTGGAAAGGAGAGATAACAGAAAACTTTGCTATCATTAGAAGTAGAAATAAGAAAAAAGAAAATTATTTTAACAGTGAAGAAAATCAACAGTAAAAACTTATTTGTTAATTCCCTTTTGAAAATTAGAATAAAAAATTAAATTGGTGTAAAAATGTAGCAGTGTTACCCATCTGACAAATAAGAAAACAAAATGCCCTAAAATGTAACAAGAGTTATAGCTGCTTATTCTATGAATGAGTTTTAAGTTCCATCACAGGTCAGTAAACAAATCAGGAGGAAAATTAGGCCTACAAGTTCCAGTTAAATCAATGGGGCATGTTCATTTTCATTTCAATGCAATTTACATTGAAACTATCTTTTTCTAGAAGTGAGTACAAAATGTGTCCCAGTGCTATTGTTGGTTTTGAGATTGATAGGATTCATTTGCAAAAGCCCTCTGCTTTAAAGTATATCAATTCTGACTCCTTCAAGATTGTGTGTATGCCAGAATTGATCCTTTCTGCTTGATAAAACAATGACTAACAAGATGGCAACATAGGAGGAAATACAAACAAGAATTTGAGATAAGGATGCTAACATGAGCAAAAATAATGTTATGGCCAAATGATAAATTTACTTTTAAAATCATTTCCCTGTGATGGAAAAGCAGTTAACTGCATTGCTAGTTGAGTTAATTGTATTTTCTCTAATTTCAAAATCGTGGTTATTTGGTGTAATATAATTTTAGAAAAGGCATCCCAATAGTCCGTAAAAGGACTAAGCGCAAAATCCAAATCTTTTGCTGCCCATATTTGCCTCAGTTCCTCAAGACAAAAGCATGAAAAGAAACAAGTCGCTTGAGTGTTTGAGAGTCCCCAGTGACTACATTTAACAGATGTTGGAAGGAGTGACACGAAGGGAGCTGACTCCAGTGCCCTTTCCTTCCAGCAGCTTGTTGTCAGGTGCACTTCAGGTGCACTGAATCATCACTCCCTCAGGGACCTGCTAGCAAGCAAAACTTTAAGAATAATGTGATTTGGACTACTCAGTTCCCTGAGAAACCAGATTGTGCTACAAGAAAAAAAAACACATCATAGGTTATACGAAACAGACGGAACAAGATCCCGGGAGTCTGGCTTTCAACTGGCTGTCACTTGGTTCTAGTAGTGCTAAAATGATGCCTTGAGTTGGTGGCACTTGAGGCCTTTTTTCTTTTTTAAAACACAGACAACATACACCCATATGGTGCTACTACAGTACAATCAAATGCAATGCCAAAATTATACAGCTGACTGCTCCTATATATGCTGACTCATTTGATAGAACCCTGGTCACTGCCTTGAAAACAGATGCAAACTGAAAGGAGTTCTATGTACTTTAACCGCTTCAGTAAAAATCTTCTATAGCCAAGAACCATTGTGTGTATTTGTATTTTTAACCATTTGTTCCACGTGGAGTGGTCCCATACTGTCCTTCTGTGCATGTTCCACTGCTGAGCATGCTCAGAGCAGCGGAGATGGTTTTATAGTTCCTTGTGAAGCTGTGCTGTATAGGCCCTTTTGCTTCCACAACAACGCCTACTGTAACAAGCTTTACAATAAACACTGTTGAATTCTGAGTTCTTCAGAAACCTGTTTGAGTGGAGGCCGAATTCAGAAGGATTGTCTCTCTGCTGCACAGTCATACGTGGCCCTCTGACTCTTTGCCTTCTGTCACTGTCTTCGTAAGATCAATTTCAGACGATGCCTTTTCTTCCTGCTCTTCTGGGGTTTTACTGGCCTCCTCCTGAAACCAGGAGCAAATATTCCATATGTAGGGATTACTGCAGAGTTATATGTCTACACAACACAAATCTAAGATCCTCATATCTTTTGGTACAAAAAATGATAATGCAAACCAAATGTACAATATTTTTGTAATTTAATTCCCTATTTGCTGAGTACATGTAGTATTGCCAGACTGAAAACTGGAGAAGGTTCCTATATAATGATGGTTCTGTAAAAGAGGAGTTTCCAAGTAGGTATTCATTAACTGGGAACATGCAATACCTGCTGAAATTCTCTCTTCTACACAATCCTTAAAGTAGGGTGTCAAAACTAATTTTCATTGAAGGCAACATCAGCCTTATGGTTGCTTTCAAAGGGCCGTTGAATCCATGGACAGAGTATCTGTGGATACAGAGGTCCAACTATAACCTTTCTACATAGTGTTCAGTGCTCTCTGAGTGCCCAAATGTTATTGAGCTACTACTCTGATTACTCGCCATGTGGACTGGGGATAATGGGAATTCCAGCTCAACAGCACTTGTGCCTCTAAGCTTGGGGAAAGGTTAAAAGACATTTTAACTTCAGACGTTGTATCCACAAGCCTGGTATCTAAATTCAAACCCCATTATCCTGACTGAACAGAACAAACTGCAGTCGTCCAGATGTTACAACTCTTATCAGCTCTAGTCATGATGATGAATTCTTGAGTTGTAGCTCAGCATCTGGAAGGCCACATAAAATGACATGGTGAACCAGATTTGGCCTATAGGCCTTGAATTTGACACACATACCTTAAAGACACATCATCCCTCTTCAGTTTTCTATGGAGCAGTGTTTGGTGAATAATAGTCAAAAGAAACTGCATTTAGCACAGCTCCTGAACTTTCCAGACTAACTATACTTGTCAGGTGAAAAAGAGGGCAAAACCCCTGTCCTTTAATGGTTCTGTAAAAGAGGAAATTTCAGCAGATAGAGCTTGTGTGAAAATCCTTCTTCTAGACAACTACTAAAGACACAGGAGTCCTGTCGTCTTTTTTCATTAGGCAAGCATAAGATGAATGCAGAAAAGGACTGGAAAGATCCAAGGAACTTGCATATAGCACCATCTCGAGAATATGAAATAACAGGGTGGTTATTACTCACTGTGTACAAAAACATTTAAGTTTTTTTTCTGAAGTCATCTCATAAAATGAATAGATTAGGAAACTGTCAGTCACAAAATGAATGCATTTGAGGTTTACAATATGTTCCCCATCTACATTCTGGCTCTGATTCAGAGGCCCATACATGAGCTGAATTCCTGTTGTTACGAGACATATAGTTCTGTAACAGCAAGATCATTTTCCCTTGCTGTTGTTGATTATAAGAAAGCCCCGTTTCTACATCTGATCCAGCTATGCATCTGAAGAGCCCTTTATTACCACTGAAATCAGTGGGAAAGGCTTGCTGATTTTAATGCAACCTATCCTTGCTTTGAATATGACTTGTACTGAGTACTTTTTTTGTTTATTATCTATCCCCCCCACCCCCACCCAATAAAAGAAAAACTTTTCTGTATTGAGATTTTGGAAGCTTTATGTTTCTAAGAAAACAAACTGTCTCTTTCCTGTGCTATTATGAGAGTAGATGTGAAAGTTCTTCCATAGATGAAGCTTGATCATTTTCTCCCACAGCTTAAAAGAAAAAATATATATAATACTTTGCTAGTTTTTTTATGTGTCTAATATCATACTGTTTGACAATGGTTGGAAGGTAGCCGTATTGGCATGGTGCAAACCTTTGCATCTCTCTCTGCAAACTTCTTGAACATGTTGGCATATATCTTTCGGTCACGCTCATTGTGTTCCTTTGTTTTCTTCTGACAAATGGTGATTTGTGATCTGGCTGCCTTGTTTTCTGGATTCACTTCTAGCACACTCTGAAAGTCACATTTTGCCAGCTCAAATTCATTCATGAGTAGCCGTGCTTCTCCTCTTCTGTACAAGCCCTTTTCATTGGCCTGGTCCAGCGCTAATGCCTGAAAACATACATTCCTACAATTAACATAACTCAAATGATTTCACATAGCAGGAGAGAACACAAGAATGGGGAAAATCTGAGTCACGAAGGAAATGTGGGCAGAAAAAAATATTTGTCAAGGGAAATATTTGACACAGAAGGTCTGTGGTGAAGTGTATTATTATTTTGTTTTGTTTTAGTTAAGGATAGAAGCCATAGAATAACGTGTGTGTGTGTGTACCTCTAAGTCACCTGTCAATTTATGGAGAACTCATAAATTTCATAAGCTCTACTTAAGCAAGGAATGCTCGGAGATTGTTTTACCAGTTCCTTCCTCTGAAATATAGCTTATAGCACCCGGTATGCATTGGTAGTCTTCCATCTAAGTACTAACCAGGGCTGGCTCTGCTGTGCTTCCAAGATCAGATGGGATTGGCTGCCTCTAGCAGATTTAGGCCCTCATAAAATAATAGCCATGGCTTAAAAATCAATTGTATAGGGATAAGCAGCACTGCCATGTAGAGGGCACAATATAGGATTCAATATAGATTTTACACATATCCTAAACTTTCATTTAGGGGGGAGGGGTTGAAGTTGAGCAAAATGTACCCTCCAAATGTTGTGAGACTACAATGCTCATCAACTTCTACCATTGGCTCTGCTGCCGAGGGTGATAATGGCATGCTGTCCACCACAGGTTTAATTTCCATTGAGTCATAATATGATCTTAGAGTAGTTGCTCTTTCTGAGGTTACTCTACCTTGATGAATTGTTGTGAGGAAGAAATGGGAAAGAAGAGAATCATTTATACTATCTTGAAGCCATTGAAGTAAAAATGGAATATATTAAATTTGATTAATAAAAATATTTCTAGGGAATGGGGACCCTCCAAGAAAGCACATGCAAGAGTGGAGGAGTGCAAGTACATAGAGTTCCAAACAGATCCAAAACCAAATTCCTAGACATGTTGTATGTTTATTAGCATCAGTAACTAAACTCTAGTTTGAAGGTTTTTAGAATAGAAAAGTAGCATCTAAAGCCCACAGTTAAAATGTAATGAATATTACAATGAGAAATTCTGAAGTGAAATGTCTTCATCAGATCTTTCTGTAATCAAATAAGCATTTTAATACAACTAATACCAGTATATGTATATGAGATATGCACATATATCAGCATGAATCTCAGACACATACATGTATTAAGATAACACAAATCTTGTACACTAGTCTACAAAATGCATTTTGTCTCCAATACTAATGGGAAATTTACATATTTTAGAGGCCCAGCTATCTATAGCTGTAAATAGAACATTCCATAAAGTGTAATATGATACAGTGACTAAATGCGAATGGATATTACGCTTAAAGCTTCCAAAAAAGAGGCCCAGAAGAAAAACTATGGGCAATGTTTTGGTGATGACTCACAAACCCCAGATATTTATAGTTTTATCCATAAGCACATGCTGTAGTCTTTGCATATTTATCTCAGTAATGTAAATGTTCTGTTGCAGTTTTAACACTTTGTTCCGGCTGTGGTACATTCAGAGACCTGAATCTTGAATAAATAGGAGTAACCACATTCTGCATACTTCTCTTGAAGCCCAGATTGTGGTCCATTCTATAATAATACAGTTATGCATGATTAACTGATGGAAAACAGTGGGCAATCCACATAAAAATCCATTGGAACAACCCACTATGAAGCAAAAACATGGAAGCTATAGCTTTCACACCAACTCTCCTTTTTCTCAGAGATGTTAAGCAACAATATGTGCATGCCATGCGAATTTCAAAGGCATTACCTGATTCTGTATTGTGAGCACATTTTTTTTAAAAGGAAAAGATGACATCTCTCGTGGACCTCCAAGAGCACCACATCCTCAACTTCTACTGCACATATAGCCATACTTTCTATAGTTCAGAGGGGTATCTTGGGAAAGGCAGCCCTATTGTAATGTTAGCATCAGGTCTGCACAACCTATGGCCCTCCAGATGTTTGGGACTCTGACTCCCAGAAGCCCTAGCTAGTTTGTGCAATGGTCAGGAATTCTGGGAGCTGAAGTTCAAGACATCTGGTGGGTCACGGCTTGTGTAGGCCTGGTTTTCATGTATAAATAGTGAGGGCCAGGATCTTTAATGAGGAATTCTGACACTGTTCTCACTCCCCTCATTTAGAGTATTTGAGCTAATCTACAATAAAGACATCTAATGGATTTGCTAAAACTAAAGCATACTAAGTTTCCAAGATGAAATAAAAACATTCATGTTCTAAAGGTAATTATAGCAACAGTCAATCAGCACCTGAGTGTCAGGAAGTGATTTAGTTCTACATCTATTAGACAATAATTTACTGCCTTTTGATAATTTCTCTAAAGTATTTTGACACACCTTTTTGAGATGTTAGAAAACTAGAGTCAGCAGTTGGGTTGACAGAGAGGTAAACAGGACAGACTATGGATGAATGTACACTGTAGAATTAGTGCAGTTTGACACTAATGATGGTGGTCCAGTGCTATGGAATCCTGGGGTTTGCAGCTCCATGAGGAATCAGCACTCCTTTCAGATAAGCCAAAAGACCCTGTAAAACCGCAACTCCCATGATTCCACAGCCTCGAGCCATGGCAATTATTCTTAATTTTATGTTTACTTCTCCTGAAGAAGACTCAATTGAAGTGGTGTCAAATTGCATTAATTTCCACAGTGTAGCTGCACCAAAGGTCACTCCCTACCATCAATAACTTCCTCAATCCTTTACAGACAAATGCGGTTCTACCTTATTGCAGTACTCAATTGCTTTAGTATAATCCCGCAGCTTCAAGGAGCACATGGCAAGGTTGAGGAAGGCAGCTAGCAACAAGGATTCTGAAGCTTTAGATTCCCTTTCCGATAAGCCATATTCCATTTCTAACCAGGACACAATCTTCCCGTACTGAATCACTGCTTGCAGGTACTTGCCTTCCTAAGAACAGAGGAGAGGAAACCAGACTATGAATGGCATTTTACAAAGCAGAAAGATATTCATTTCTGAAATACGTGTTATGATTTGAAAGCTAACAGGTTGAGAATGAGGAAATGGAAGAATTTTTAAAAGACAAGACTGTAAGAGGAATAGGAATTATAAGTGTGGGAGTCAAGAAGTAAAGAACCAGAAAGACTGGTGTAAACTGTTCTGGCAATTCTGTCAAGACCACCACTTGTCTGGGAGAGGGGAGTATTAGTATTAGAGCTCATACCCAAAGGAGACTCAAAGCAGCTAACATTAAAAACCACAACAACATGTGAATTAAAGCCTAATGCATATAAACATTAAAATAAAATTAAACATAGAAATATTACAAATATATAGTTAAAACCAATAAAACAATTTAAAAATATATTAAACTACATAAAACACAGAACTCCCTTGATCTAATAACTACAGCTGATATCCTGAACTCCCCTGGGCTTTTGGTATATATATTGAGAATTTTTTAAAGTGTATTTTAATTGGAAATGTTAACAGAAAATTTTTTTTAAAGAAAACAATTTCTATACTAGGTATGGGCAATCCATGGTTCTAAATAGTTCTAAAGTACTTATAAACCAAACTCTAACAAAACTTTAAAAATGTCATTATAAATGTCAGTTCCTAATTGGTTCTGTCATAAAATTGCCAATAATGAGATAATAATGAATTCTGAAAGTTTTGTTAGAGTTCTGAAATTTTCATCACCAGAACTTTAGCAACACTTTAAAAGTAAAGCACCAGCTTTAGCAACACTTTAGAAGCAAAGCATCATCACCCTCTAGTTTTTAAGTACTTTAGAACCATTAAGAACTATGGATTGCCCAAGCCTACTCTATACTTAGATATACATAAGTATACTTGAACAACGTGTCCTAATCATTTATACAACTAACTATGCAATTTCTCCCAATAACATACATTTTACATAAACACAAATCTTTAATACAAACATATATACACCCAGAAGTCAACCCTGAATCTCATGCCACCTCTGTCTCAGTCTCATTCCAGTTTTCAAGCAGCTTCAGGTGCTAAAAAAAGTCAAACAGGAAAGTAAACCAGAAAAGGGAATGGATTGGATTTGCTTGAGAAGCATAGCACATACTCAACTTCATCTCTTGACTATTGCCATTTATAAACATGTTGGACTGACCTTGAAATAAACAGTCCCTTTCTCTTTAACAATGGCAGCCTGTTCAAGTTTCTCTTTGGTGTCCATTTCCCAGGATTCTTTGGCCTATAAGTAAACATTTATAGCAATTGTTTAATAATGGTAAGAAGATGAATGCCTGTAAACTAAAGCAACATTTATGGAAACCGCGTTTGCACTTAATAATCTTCATAGAATCATGCTGTTTCCAATACTGACATTATCATTTCTATTAGGAAGGAGCAGTGGCTGTTTTCACTATGCCAACAGGAAATGTGGACAGCAACACCGGAGAGCATTAGTTTGCTTAAAATATACTCTGTTACATCAACTTTAGAAATTAAACAAAATCAAGATATAATCAAATATCTATGGTGTTTGAGATAAAATTTTAGAGTTCCCCACGTCCCAATCTGATCTCACTTAAAGCCTTCTTGAAAGTACATTCCTCAAGAAGCATGTTAGGCTGGAGAAAGTGATGAAAGGAAGTCTCTACAAATTTCTCTGAGGGTAGAAAGGGTGGGGAAAAAACCAATCACCAAAGCCTGCTTCCTGAAAACATTTCCCATTATAGACTTAGCAGCACAGCTCCACCTTATGTACATCTTGTTCCTTCACTGTACTGTACTGTACAGAGATGGGCACATTCTTCAACACCCCGAAGAGGGCACAGCCTGTTCAGCAATTCTGCCCTGCCCTCCTTTCAGGACTGTTTGGCAGGACATGGTTTTTTTTTGTCTGCAGCCCAAGGGGGAAAAATACAAAAGGAACAAGTCCAGGACAAGTCTTGGACCCCACCCAAAACAATAAAACAAACTAACACACAAGAACACTGTGATCTTAGTTGACGTATCTGCTTTACCAAGCTTTGTCACAAACATACTGAGGGATGAAGGGAGAAACAGGACATCCTAAATGTTTTCATTGCAGAAGGGTTACTATGGGTAAATGTCAAAATATGTATGTGTCTGTTTGTTATTTAAAGAAAGTCAATTTTTTTACCTTTTCAAAACTTTTCAGTATAACTTCATATACAAGGTCAGTATTTGGCCCTATGCCAAATGCAAGCTTCCCTGCTTCACCAAACCCATATCTGAAACAAAGCGGAGAAACAAGACACTAAGAGAAATGGCACAAGTTCAGGCTTTTTATTCAGCATTCTGAGTATTTATGCTCACGTGGAGATAGCATCAACTAGTTACACATTGGGCCCTGGAGACTAAACAGATGTTACCTAGGAAACAAGTGGCTAAGTAACTCGTGTGTGTCAAAACACAGATTTTATATACTACACTGGAGTCATCTGTATGATTTCTATTGAATACAATTATATACTGTGTATTTCATTAATTTTTCTTAAATGGATCATGCATCTGATTTTTCACTAATGCAATTTTTCATAAGCTCCTTAGAATCCCTGATGATCACAGTATTATTTATTTGCGACATTTATATGCCACCCTTCTCACCTCGAAGGGGAATCACAGCAGTTTACAAGATACACACACACACACACACAATATATTATATTATTAGCATAGTACAATTTCATTATTATATATTACTATATTGTACTATATCATTATAATAAACACTATTTTTCTCTCCACCCTTTAAAAAAATGTTTATGGCACAAGTAACTGCTGAATACATGGCAACCAAAAGATGTAGTGTGGGTACTACTTCTTTCAAGATTTGTATTAAGGCAGAAAATAATTTAAAGACAATTCGTATGCAGAATTGTCTTCCCTTGACAGATATTAATGGTTTCAACTGAAACATAGCTTCACAAAGGAACCATGGTAAAATAGCTGTATAACTATATCACTGCTTAGAGTTGTACATTATAGAATCTGTGTAATATGTATATATGTATATAAGAAGGAGTGGGAGAACAACAGACTCCCTAGTTTCTTACTGAGCTCCGATATGCAGAATGCAGTGTTCTCCCCTCTGCATCTTCTCCAAGGCTTTGTCAATTCCAATGGGAATATCATGGTCTTCTCCTTCTCCAACAGTGAAAGCAACATCTCTGCAATCAAACACTCTGCCCTCACAGAATCCTTTCAGATGGACTATATGGGAGAAGAAGGAATCATAAGCTCCAAAACACCATCTGCTTAAAATATTTTGAGAAGCATTAATGAGGGATATAACCAAAATGTATTTTTGCTACCATTTATATCCCATAATGCATGGAATGGCTGCCAAAAACTCTAAACTCACAGTGCTACTAAATACTACCAATTTTGAAGTGCGACTACCACCACTGACTTAAGAATGCATGAATGAACTGGTAGCAACAGGTCTTGCATGATATCAAGTCTAACTATACAGACTTCGAGAAACTAATCTAGTTACATTGTGGTCCACTTCCACAAGCCACTATATAGACCAGTGTTTCTCAGCCTTCCTAATGCTGCAACCCCTTAATACAGTTCCTCATGTTGTGGTGACCCCAACCATGACATTATTTTTGTTGCTATTACATAACTATAATTTTCTATTATTATGAATCGCAATGTAAATATTATCTGATATGCAGGATGTATGTTCAGTCACTGCATGAAATTTGGCACAAATACCCGATACACCAAAATCTGAATACTGGTGGGGTTGGGGGGATTGATTTTGTCATTTGGGAGTTGTAGTTGCTGGGATTTATAGATAAACTACAATCAAAGAGCATTCTAAACTCCACCAACAATGAAATTGAACCAATCTTGGTACACAGAACTCCTATGACCAACAGAAAAGACTGGAAGGGTTTGGTAGCCATTGACCTTGAGTTTTGGAGTTGTAGTTCACCTACATCTAGAGAGCACTGTGGACTCAAACGATGACGGATCTGGACCAAACTTGGCACGAATACTCAATATGCTCAAATGTGAACACTGGTGGAGTTTGGGAAAAATAGATCTTGACATTTGAGAGTTGTAGTTGCTGGGATTTATACTTCACCTACAATCAAAGAGCATTCTGAACCCCACCAATGATAGAATTGGGCCAAGCTTCCCACACAGAACCCCCATGACAACAGAAAATACTGTGTTTTTCTAATAGACTTTGGTGACCCCTCTGACACCCCCTCAGGGGTCCCGACCACCAGGTTGAGAAACGTTGATATAGACACAGCAGCTCTTAATAGCAGAGTCCTGGTGCAGGAGTGAGTCTACGGCTGGTGGGTCTGAACACAAACTGGAACCCAGTATTGCAACACACACAATGGCCTCCTGCCCTGGCATAACATACTAGGGCATCTGCAGGGAGTGACCCTGCCCATGTCAGTATAACTGTTGTAGATTCAAACTTTCAGTTTTAAAGTATCAACTGCTTCTGGTTTTGATTGAACCACACTGTGGTGGGAAGACAAATAAGGTTGCAGTAGTATTCCTAAACAAGAGGAATATTACACAGATTAGCAAAGCAATGTGAGGATTCTCACAATATCTGCCTATTAGGTCTTTGCCCCTGGAAGCCAGAATGATGTCTTTATGGGGGCAGGTTAAAACCGTTTTATTCAGACAGGCTTTTAAAGAAGAAAGTTTTTAAGATCAAGTCAGGGGTGCTGTGGTTTTTAGTTTTGAATATGTTTTTATGGATTTTAACTGATTTTTAAAATACCAATGTTATTTAATTCTGTTTTAATGTTTTTATATTTGTAGGTTTTAAATTGTATTGAAATGCTTTTAATGTATGCTGCTTTGAGCTTCCTCGTGGAGATAAAAAGTGGGGTATAAGAAAACAAACAAAGAAATAGAAGAAGAAGAAGTCCGCACCTCATAGAAATAATGCATGAAAGAACAAGTATTGTATAGAAACTCTGTATTCCTAAAATAGTTAATGATTTCCTGTCTAGCAAGGACAAGACAGAACAGAATCTTTTCATCTAAATCTCTCTGCTCAATCTGGACACTGTGTTTACACCTGCTGACTTGTAAATTTAACATTGATTATTGCCAAGTGCTCCTATGTTGGAATAGCAGCATCAGAGTTATGGCTGTGTGGGGAGACATAATACTATCCCTTAATCCATTAGAAGCTGCACTCCATCAGCACAGTTGGAAGCTAAGAAACCCTGCTTTTTCCTTTAGAAAAAACACTTCCATATTATGACAAAAATGAGTGGGGATCCCACTCCTTATTTGACAGCCAATTAGCACTTCTCAAAGACTTCGAGGAAGGCAGACAACATGATGTTTAGTGAGAAAACACTGAGAATAAAACGCCATATAAATACTATCTCATTTAAAACTGACCTGAAAGATGCAGAGACAACAATCTTCTTACATTATAATATATGATTTTTCTGAGGTACAACTCCTCAAATGTATATATTACACAAAACCAGTTGGTATTTAAAAATTGATAACATGGAAGCAGTGAGATCAAAGGGAAATAAAATGCAACAAAATAACAAAACAGACTATGGATGCATCTACACTGTAGAAATAATGAAATTTGACACTGCTTTAACTGCCATGGCTCAATGCTATGGAATTGTGGGATTTGTAGTTTAGTGAGGCATCAGCATTCTTTGGCAGAGAAGGCTAAAGAACTTGTAAAACTACCACTGAATCCATAGCATTGAACTATTGCAAAGAAAGTCATGTCAACATGAATTAATTCTATAGTGTACAAGATGATAGATGCATCTGGGATTTGCCAATAAAATTTTCAGATGAAGATAACACTTCATTCACCTGGCAGAAGATGATCCCAGGCCAGAAAAGCCTACTTCAAAAATAGCATAGCCTTTAAGATATTATGAGACTGTAGTTCTTGTAGCAACAAACTAACAAAGCTAACTCTCCAAAATTTGTTAAAAGATAAAGGCCTAAATTTGTGATTGGAATTACAAATGAGAACCCTAAGAGTTGGGTTGTTGTAGGTTTTTCGGGCTGTATGGCCATGTTCTGGAAGCATTCTCTCTTGATGTTTCGCCTGTAAGGTCTCACAACCTCTGAGGATGTCTGTCATAGATGCAGGCGAAACGTCAGGAGAGAATGCCATACAGCCCAAAAAACCTACAACCCCCCAGTGATTCCAGCCATGAAAACCTTCGACAACCTAAGAGTTAGGCATTCATAATGGGTTTGCATTTACAATCCCTACATATTCTTGATTAGGCAAATAGTGTACAGAATATGTAGGTATCCTGACAATTCCACAATCTTGCCTTAACAGGAAACAGCCCCAGTGAGTGATGGAGATCTTTTCTTCTATAAATTGGGAAGGAGCAGACTGATTTTTCCACCACCACCCCAGCGATCTCCAGGGTGAGGAGAAATTGTAACAGGGATCCTGGTTCTGATTATTGCACTGGGGATTGCTAGTAGGTGGAAACATCAGCTTGCTTCATCTCAATTTACAGGAGAACACACATCAGTTGTTCAAACTGGCTGCTGCCTTAGTCAGGCAGAACTGCAGGATTGTAACAGGAGATAATACTTAGTTAAATATACATAACTCGGCAATTGATCTAGAATCCCATCCTTAGATAGTGACAGAGCAATAACTAATTGGAATGCTAACCACCAGTAGCTACTGGTCTGTCATCTGATTTCTTAAGTTAAAAGACATCATTGACATCATCATGTATCTCTGTGCCTCAAAATCAGGAAACAGTTGTGACGTAACAGGAAAACATCAATGAAACGCTAAACATCATTCCTAAACATCATTTCTAAGTCTCACGGTGTTTATTGTCCCATCTATACTATATTTGCACATAATGCTAAGCCAAGATTGGTTTTAACCATGATTTATTGAATTATCCAAAATCAGTGTTGTAACAATGTTATTGTTATGTTATTGTTTTTACCCTTGACTCTTCTACCAGTACCCCGATATCCCAAATCCCCAGCAGCAATGAAGGATTGTTTTTTCCCTTTTATATTTTGCAAGTGTGTTTTGTGTCCTTTTTGTGTAAATCTTTTTGTTGTGCATGTGTTTACAGGGGGAGGGTTGTCTATGTATTTGTGGAGACTTTTTGCAGGTTATATATTTGGGAAGTTTTGAGTGGGACGCTTACTGCTAGGAATTGTGGGGTTTTTGGTGGATTCTGGGTTTGGCCTGAATTTTCCCCAACTTTACTTCTTCCCCCTTCTATATCACAGATATTTGACCATCATTTTTGTGCAAGAAAACATGTGGTTTGACATTTGAAGGTCAGAACAACCTCTACATTGTACTCATAGAGGAATAGGCATTGAAAGAAGATTGCTGTCAAGGACAATGAAGAGGGACAACGGTTTCTAGAATAAGCAGAATATATTTAGTATGAGGAATAATGTTTTTTTCCTTTTAACCATAAAGACTGGTGGGTAAGGCTCAGGAAACAAGGGGAAAGGGAGGGTTGCCTCGTACCTTATGATTCTTGTAAACCTTCAACTTACAAATTCAAATTGGGTCTCACTGCTGCAAATTAAATTACTTGTTGTCTGAATCAGGTTCAAATATGTCACAGTGTACTAAAGGGATTCTAGCTTAGTATTGCCTTTGAATCAGACCTATATTTAGCAAGGGGTACAGGAAATATAAATTTTAAAATCAGGAAATATGAAGCTTAAAATGGGAATGCAGGAATATATATTGGCTATAAACTATATTTTATTCCTGTGTCCTTTTTCATATTAAATGACACTCCAATGTGGTAAAAATAACTTTAAAAACTCAAAGGTCCATTTTAGTTTCATGAATCAAATCTGGAAGAGAAAAAGCCCACCATATTCAAAAGTTCAACAGTTCCCTTTGTTTTCTTATTTTCTTTGCTAAAGGCAATACACTTATTTTGTCCTTTAGCACATAACTTAGTAATTCTACCTACATCAATTGAATGGGTTATTTGTAGGGTAAAACATATCTTAAAGAAAGAATAATTGTGCATGTCCAATTTTAAACAGAATTGCTTCTATGTGTTTATATTTGGGTCCCATCTCCAAGATATCTCATTATGTATATACAAATACTCCAAAAGTGAAGCAACCCAAGATCCAAAACACTTGTGGTTTCAAGCATTTCGGATAAGGGATAACCAACCTATACTGGTCTATGGAACTGAGGGTAATGCAGTGAGGATTCAATGATACTATCTTGAATATGATGTATCACAATACTTTTTTGTGCATTGGGGACATGGCCCTATCATTACGTTCATTAGCTCCGTGTAGAGAGAGAACAACATGTTGCCAGTTTAGTCCCTAAGAAGTCGTGCCTGTGCTGAAGTTTCCAGGAATGTTGAGAAAATTATCATTTGTACACCATATTTTGATATACTGGTTCTGTGTTCTTCCCCTCTCACTCAAGATGTGCGGAAGTGTTAGGCCATATTGTGAGTCCATTCCACTCTACATTAATTTAGCACCCATTCCTTTAGTGTAATGCACCTACAGGGTGTATTGTCGAAGGCTTTCATGGTCGGAAACACTGGGTTGTTGAAGGTTTTTTAGGCTGTATGGCCATGTTCTAGAAGCATTCTCTTCTGACGTTTCACCTGATCTGTGATAAGCATCCTCAGAGGTTGTGAAGCTCACAACCTCTGAGGATGCTTGCCACAGATGCAGGTGAAACATCAGGAGAGAATGTTTCGAGAACATGGCCATACCACCCGAAAAACCTTCAACAACTCAACTACAAGGTGATACTGCCCTCCTTCTTTTTCTTTATCATACAGATGTGAGAAGTACCTGAACAAAACAATGCACAATTAATTTATACCTTATAGCTGTGATTAGGTATCATATTGTCTCCCAACATAAACAGGAAGAGCAACAAAAACAGAACTCTCTTCGCTAGACAATAACTTGAGTTATTGCAATATTTTCTTATCTCTGTATGTTTAGTTCTGGAATTTCTGTCTTGGAACATGGTGTGTAGGTATCAAAAGTCATCTTTCTTTTATAATTATCAACTTCTGTAATTGTGTAGGACTTGGAAGTCACTTGACTAGATATCATTTGAGGGGGGGGGGGGGTTGACCCTTCTCTACTTTCAAACTGACAGCCATTTGATGCCTGGGGTTTGTTATTAGAGGAAATGATTCCACATGAATTGCAAATGTAACACAGAATAAAAATCCCCAACTTGATTATCAAACTTTAGTTAACTGCTCTCTGAGAGAGATCGCTGAGATAGAATTACACTTGGATGACAGAGCAAGAAACCCCAGCCAGGCTCGGGAACATCACTTCAGCTGCTGAGCTGACTTATTGTTCTCTCAGTGCCTAGAGCGATTTTGTTTTGAAGAGCTCAGAACACTGTGTTCTGAATGTGGCTGGCACATGAACTCTGTGCACTGACAGCAATTTGTACTCTGATTAAAACAGCAGAGGGGCTGTAACACAACTTGGAATGCAAATATTCAACTGCGTTGTGTTTTAGGAAGCAGAGATGTGAATTATGCCCTATCACTCAACCTAATAACACTGTCTACAAAAATACAGTGCAGAGACAGTCACATTTTCTCCCATTCTAATTATAGTAGTGCTCTTATGAATCTTTTTTTAATTAGCTCCCAAGTTAATACTGGGTTTTACTAGAACTCAGCAGAAACATTATCCGTTAATTCATCGCTGCTGAGGTTTTACCACCTGCTCGCTTTCAAAATATAGTAATCAAACAACCTGCTCTAATTCATGCCAAATCATCCACACATTTCTATTTCACTCTTGCTGACAAGGAATGTGGAAAGGGGCTCAATCCAAACACTTTACTCTCTTGGAACAAGGCATAATGTTTGTAACTGCGTGTTTAGTTTTTTCAGGGAAACTCATTTTCCTGCCACTCACTCCTAATTTCTAGTACTTTATCATGCTTGCTAACAAAACAATAATCCATAATGTAATACCGAAGGCTTTCATGGCCAGAATCACTGGGTTGTTGTAGATTTTTGCGGCTGTATGGCCATGTTTTAGAAGCATTCTCTCCTGACATTTTGCTGCATCTATGGCAGGCATCGTCAGAGGTTGTGAGGACCTCACAATCTCTGAGGATGACTGCCACAGATGCAGGTTTTTTGGGCTGTATGGCATTCTCTCCTGACGTTTCGCCTGCATCTATGACAGACATCCTCAGAGGTTGTGAGACCTTACAGGCGAAACATCAAGAGAGAATGCTTCCAGAACATGGCCATACAGCCTGAAAAACCTATAACAACCCAATAATTCATAATGTGCTTTGAAGTATCAGGAAAAGGACTACTTGCTAATAATTTACAGCTCAGCCTAACCATCACTACTCATAAATTAAATCAGTAATTGAGAAGAAATCTACTGGATGAGCAACATTTAGTCTAGGGGCCACCTATGACCCTTAGCTTAATTGCATGGGGCCCTCTGCCTAATTTGAAAAGCTCATTGTATGTGAGCAGTTCATGCCTCTAATAAGAGTAATCTGTCTCTCTCCCATTAAGAGAAATGGGAAGAGGGAAATGTCAGAAAGAGAAGGTAGCTCCACTTAGGTAAAGGTAAAGGTTTTCCCCTGACAATTAAGTCTAGTTGTGTCCGACTCTGTGGGTTGGTGCTCATCTCCATTTCTAAGCCAAAGAGCCAGCATTGTCCGCAGACACCTCCAAGATCATGGGACCAGCATGACTGCATGGAACACCATTACCTTCCTGCCAGAGCAGTACCTATTGATCTACTCACATTGGCATGTTTTCCAAATTCTAGGCTGGCAGAAGTTGGGGCTAACAGTGGGAGCTCACCCCACTCCCTGGTTTTGAACCGCCGGCCTTTTGGTCAGCAATTTCAGCAGCTCAGCTTTTCGACCCAATGTGCCACTGGGGGCTCTGAGCTCCACTTACAAGTGGCTTTTTAATACCCCAAGCTGTATGGGGCCTCTGGTCTCCTCATGGAATGCTGCATTAAAGTTCCTTATCTCCACTCCAATTAATTGATGGGAAAGTATTTTCTCTACCCATAACAGTGGATGATTTGTTCATTCCCTGACCAGTTATCTGTTTCGTATTAACCCTGTAATACTTTTATTCGCCTATAAAAAGCAATCTGTGTGTCCAGGAAAGCCCAAAGTTACCCCAGAATAAAGTAATTTCCTAAAATCGTTTCCATTTAGTATAGTTTCATCTGCCCTAGTGTCAGCAATGCTAGCTCTTGGCCAGTTTGGCCAACTATGGTTTTACTGTAACCTTGAAATTAAGTACTAGTAGCAGGATAGGTTTTGAAGTTGGAATTTGCAAGAGCCATTGATGTGCTTAAGTAAGACCTGTGGCTTTAATTGCAGAATTTTATTATTTTGGATAATATGTGTAAGCATGACACTAGATGATCTGTCAAAGAGGAAGGATCTATCCTTTTTGCAAGACTATCCCACATAACTACACAGTCTTCCTCAGAGGGGAGGCTTATGAAAACACAGGCAAAGGATTACACTGGGAATCTCTATGTCTGGAGACTGGACTTCCAGGTACCTTTGGATGCCACAGATGGTCTTGTGTTACAGGGGCAGAAGTGAAAGCTTCTCATAAGAGACAACGAAAAAATCAGTACTATTACAGCAGTAATTTGGCAGTAGTTTTATGAAGCAAAACTAGAGATTTACCTTGTTTACCTTGTTTCAAATACAGGACTTTTTTCAGAAAGGAAAATGTGAATTATTATGAATGTTTAATAGTCTAGAGCACACATGTGGCCTGTGAGGCTTTCAATGCCAGGGCAACATAGTTACATTTATAAGGTCTTGCAATTACAAACAGCCCCTTGAAGGCAACCATAAGGCTCATGTAGCGAAATTGACTTTGACACCCTGGTCTAGAAAGTTACTCTCCCTGCCAATGCTTCCTATAATGGCCAGTGAGTAATGTAGCCCTAACACCTATTCCATTTCCCCACGATGAATTGGGACAAACAAGTCAGAAATATCTCTATATTATAAATATATAAATAACGGGGAAGTGGGAAAGTATCCTGGAGAAGGGGCTTTCTATAACTTTGCAATATTCTCTGTTCAATGTTACCATATGCAACAGGCATGAGCAAACTTGGGCCCTCCAGGTGTTTTCGACTTCAACTCCCATAATTCCTGGCTTTTAGGAATTGTGGGAGTCCAAAATACCTGGAGGACCGAAGTTTGCCCACACCTGATATACAACATACTAAGGTAGCCAACGTGACAACTCTGTGTTATGATCTCTACATTTTACTTGTAGGCTGACACTGATACAACAAGCATACAATGATTGTACAAGTATAATAAAGTACTATCTCCTTTGCGCACTTTGCTGGTGGAATAAAGTACCACAAAGACATGTTCTCATTGTAGTGGAGAGCACTGACAAGAACTCAAGATGTATACAGAACAATTATATAACAGGATATAAATTAATTCTGAGCGGATTTGTTTTGATAATAGCAACAATGCAGCTAATGAACCTGAAATCACCAACATAACACATTTTCATAAACCCACACAGAGATGCCAAAGTGCATTCTCCTAAATGGAAAGAAAACATGACAGCAGCACAATCCAATCTACTTAAACTACCCCCCCCCCCCAGCCCTATTTAGCCCCAAAGCTAGTGCTAATGCAGACATGGTGTGTTTTCATTATTCCTAACCATATAAAACAAAGATGCCAATTAAAAGCTAAGAGCTAGTAACAAGCAGAGACAGCAAACTGCCACAGCTTTTATTTCTATCAACCCCACGCCTCAGCAGTTGGCTTTATTCATGTCAGGAGTGACTTGAGAAACTGCAAGTTGCTTCTGGTGTGAGAGAATTGGTTGTCTGCAAAGACATTTGCCCAGGGGATGCCCTGATGTTTTGATTTTTTACCATCCTTGTGGGAGGCTTCTCTCATGTCCCTGCATGGTGAGCTGTAGCTGACAGAGGGAGCTCTCCCCAGATTTGAACCTGAGACCTGTCGGTCTTCAGTCCTGTCGACACAAGGGTTTCTGCCTCAACATCAGGACTTACTTTGTACAGCTGCTCCTTCATTAGGGTTGGAGTATCCTTCACCTTTCTGTTTGATTCTGCGGATGATACCTCCATTCTCAAATAAATCCTCCCCCTTGAAATCAAGCAGTTCAATCTGAAAAACAGGTCAAACTTCAAAGTAAGAATGTCACCTAAAACTGAACAATGTAAATGTCATGTTTTGTACAAAAGGCCAAGAGAAGGAAGCATGGAATCTTAGGGCTAACTGATCCATGTGGCCATTATTCTAATCAGTTCCCTTCCCCATGTTCATGACTGTATGAACCGTGTAGTCCAGCTGTGGCATCAACTCGAAGTCAGTATTCAGACACATTCACCATGAACAAGTCAAAGTGAGCAGAGGATTAATGAGAAGGAGCCCTATGCAATAGCTTATTAAAATCCGTGACAGAACCCAAATAACCTCGATCTAAGAGAAGTCTAAGAGACGGTAACTCCCCTTTGAAAAAACCTTGCCAAGAAAACCTCATGATAGCATTGCCATAAGTTGGAAATGACTTGAAGGGACACAACTTATTTTCGTTTTTTTTTTAAAAAAAAACAAAAACTTTTTCATTCATCTTCCTGCACTCGGACCCCTCACTATATTCCCACACCCCCTTCCTCCCCCTTTTTTTTCTCATCCCCCTCCCTTCCCCCCCCCCATGAACCGTCCCATTTCCTTTTTTAATATATCGATACACTGATGATTAAAACCCTCTCAGATGGATCCCTCCTAATAAAAAAACCTTAATAAAAACTATATAAAAAAACCTTTTTCATCTCTAACAAATGGGGACAAAGAAATAGTTGTAAAGCGTGGAACAGTCATGGGAGGAACAGTAGAGAAATGTCAATTCTGTGCATCACAAGTGAAATATCCATCCTTCTAAAGCAGTCTGTTAGGAATTGTGGGAGTTGAAGTCCAAAACCCCTGGAGAGCTGAAGTTTGCCCATGCCTGATCTAAAGCCTCCCTAATGTAAAATTATTATGATAGAAGTCCTAACATTTCTATCTGAACAACTGGGAAGCCAAGTGTGTGTTGCGATGGTTGTGCATCGTTCTCTAACAGAGAAAAGCTATGATCAGGTTCTTCATTTGTCAGCCTCAGCAATTTTCCTACTTATCTTTCAAGATGTTCTCTAAATGGTATGAATGCTTAATGTATCAATTTATTTAAATCACAATGAATTCTGATACGAATGCAAAATGTATACGTAAAGTAATATGAAATGCTCCTAATACAAGTTATATGTTCTATGAATCAGTTAAGAATGGTGGAAGAAGTAATTCTACTTTAAACACCTTGTTTTACTGACATTAAATGTAAAGCTTTGGGATGCTAGGGGATGCTCTGAAATAAAATGCTTTTTAAAGACCATATTTCAACATATTCAGGATAGCAGCAGTACGCTCCATAATATTTTAAATATTGATTGGTGATGGGCACTATTTGATGCGATGCTTTAGGTGCCAAAATGTCATTAGTCAGCCCCATATTCTTTCTCCAATAATCTTTGTTTCTATGGAAGAGGATATGCTTCTATTGTAACCAAATTCTTTCCTGTCTACATCAAAACTATAACTAGTACAATGTGTTATATGGTTATGATTATTTATTTATGAAAGTGACATGGATCTTTCCATTCCACCAAAATGTAAATGTAATTTTAAAATATTTAAATACCTAAAATACATAGCCCATTTCAGCCTCTGAAAGTCTTAGATTACCTACTTTCCAAGAAACATCCTATTTGTCAGGAAATATATAAGGTTCAGTTTTCCTCGCAGAAAGGTTCCCCTACCCATACACTCAAATTACATCTGAACAGCAATACAGCTGCTGAAAGATTGGGGTTAATCCAAGGATAGCACAGAGAGACATTACCTGCCCTTAACAATATCTGCATAAGCCAGCCATTGGAAACTATAGGCCTGATAACTTTTCCACCTGGTCTGTGAAAACCTCCAATGAACTCACTTCCTAAAGCCTCTGAACCACTAAAGAAAGGGTAAGAGAATGGGTCATGTATATATTGCTTCTAGACGTCTCCTAATAAGGATGATTACAAAGCTGTTGTATCAGTCTGCATGAATATTGTGCATAAGAAAGACACTAAAAATGAATACTAGAAAAACACATCAGGGCTATTTTCTGGCAATAAGGATGGTAACACTCATTTGAGATTATGGTCTCCTCAGTCCTAGTACGCAGCCATCAATATAGTTGCCCAGGGCCTGCTTGTCCTTTGTGGTGAAAAAAATCATTCCTAGACACACAACTACTAAGACAGCCATAGCACAAGAGAAACAGCTTCAGGAGGTGTTGCTGGTAAATTAAAAAATTGGGTGACCAGATCACTCTAATGGCTATAACTTGGGGGTTTATTCTATGCTGGTGAATTTGATCTTTCTTCCTCCAACTCTCACTCCCAACCAGAAGACTTAAGAGTACCCCATTGTAATGTCAACAGAGGTGCCTGCAATGGCACCTGCAATGGCCAGGAGCTTGTATGGTGCTCCTTGGCCAGCTCAGAGCAGAAGTGGTGGTGACACTGAAAAGGTAAGATACACACCACCTTAAAGGAGTGGCCACATTCTCTGGCCATGTAAACAACAGTCCCAGATTAGGCACCAATGTGCTGAATCTGAGGCTGCACAAGAGCATATTTACACCAGGCTAAACTGCTCAGTGTAGATGAGCCCTCAGTATTAGAATGTTGTCAACTTTCAAATGGAAAATTCCATATCCTTTTTCCAACCAATTTTGAAAATAACTTCTGTCAACATAGGGTCATGTTGACAAAGAAAAGCAGATGTGATCTCTCAATGTGTCCTTTCACAGAGTGGAGAGATTGCTGGTTGTTAGTACCAGATATAATGAAGAAAGTGGCATAACAGCCAGTTTTCAGGACACTCTTAAGCTTAGTCAGCCATTGCAAGATAAACTCATCCTTTTGCAGTGGAGCAGCTGTTTTCATGTACACAAAATTAGGTTGGAAACTTTTAATTTTCAGGAGAGAGAGAGCAAAGACAGGAAAATCACGTAACTAGTTATGTAGGGCTCACTAATCCCAGACTCTAAAACTCCTTCCCAAGGAAGGCCTATTGATCTTTTTTCTTTGATGCCTTTCTGCTATCACGCAAGGATGTTTTATTGAGACACAACCTTTGAAGTTGACTTGTTATGGGCAATGTAAGTACAGGCAGACCCCGAGTTACAAACATCTGACTCATAGTTAAGAACAGGGGTGAAACAACAGGAACTGAGAGAAATCTATCCCTCGGAATGGAAGTTCACTCCTGAAAGAGTTATCAAGGAGAAAAGGTGCCTCCACTGAAGCATTATCGCAAGTCTTTGTTTCCACAACAAGCCACATTTTTAAAAATCCAATTATCACATTGACAGAAAGTAAGGCGAAATCTTCTGAACAGGGGCACAGACTGCAAGACACCACAGGGATGTTAATCCTTCACTATGCTATCCAAAACCATATTATTTATTTATTTATATTATATATATATTTGGCTGGAGGCACTCTAAAAATGTACATGTTCCAACCTTAAAAACAAACATACAGAACTATCTTGTTTGTAATATGGGGACTGTCTGTAAGCTGAAATTTGTCCAAAGTGTTGTTGTTTTTCTTGATTTTGACCTGTGTGTATCTACTTGTATTTTACTTTGTATATTATTGCTGTTCTCTACCATCAGCATTTGGAGGAAAGGTAGAATATAAATGTAACATATAACACCAATACATAAAAACACATACCTCAAAGAAGAGTGTTGCATTTGAGGGGATCTTTGGAACACTGCCAGCAGAACCATATGCATATTCTGGCTTGCACAGCAAGTGGCAGATTTCCCCCTTTTTCATGGTGGAAACCCCAATATCCCATGCCTTGATGACCTGGCCTAGTAAAAAGAAATTTCAATTAAACAGTTTGGGTCAGTAAGCTTTAAAAAAGAAAAAAAATATTTTATTTCCTTTCATTTTAAAACCCTTACATTGAATACTGCATTATAATTTGGAAGTGTACATTTTAATGCCTGAGCATCTAAACTCTAGTGGAAAGCCCATCAAATTTATCTGTACATTAAGCATTTCTTTAAATAAGTCGTGAGCAAGTTTGTCCTACAACTTTCATTCACTGTGTCAGGATGCACAGCTTTTGGTCACATGTCTATACCAGTGTTTCCCAAACTTTGGTCTTCCCAATGGTTTGGACTTCAGCTCCCAGAATTTGGCCAAGTTGGCTGGGATTTCTGGAAACTAAAGCCCATAATACCTGGGGGACCAAAATCTGCAAATCAACATGTAGTCTTCAGCCAACACTGCTGTTGCCATGGGACTGCTGGGATGCTGCCAAAGTACTCGAAAGCACAACTAAACAGATAGCATGTGAACACAACAGCAGAAGAGATTCTGTATGTTTACCAGTAATTTTAGTAATGACTGCTATCAGATGGGAGAGATTTTCTCTCCTACTAACCTACAATGATCACAGCACAAAGGAAGGGGAGATTTAACCACTATTCCCGTATCAACACACTGCAGTCCTTGGTACTGCAAAAGAATTTGGGTAACTCCAGTTTACATGGCAGCCCAAATCAGACATTTATTAAGCCATTGTTTAATATCATAAACCATAATAATTTCTGTCCTTGCATGTTTTCCTCTCTCCACACATTTTTTGTTAAAACTGTGTAACAACCTTATAACAAACTTGGATAGCAAGTTAATCTGAGACAAGATATGCTACATTATGGACAGAATCTATTGTTTAAGAATTGCTATAAGCTTAAGAATAGAATAAAGACAAACTGTCAGAAGAGAAACACATATTAGTACTAAACATGGTTGCATCAAAAAGGACTTAAAAAGCACTTCTAGAGCTCTATAGAGCTGCAGACATTCATTGAGTATGGTAATTCATTCACCCCCAAACACTATCAAAATGTAACAAAACTGGCAAAATCAAAACTGGAAAAAAAAAATCAAAGGCAGACAGATACTTTCCCCAAGATGTTATATGACTGCCAAAAAAGCAGCTCTCTCACTGCTGTTAGAAGAAACTCGGGTTCATTCTTTTACACACTTTGTTTGGAAGTATTCTCCACAGCTGAGACACAGGTATAGAAAATGGCTTTTGATGTCGTTAAATAATACTAACTACTGTAATAGACCTTGCTATCAGAACTTTAGACACATGCTTATAATAAGATGAATACCTCATACTCAATATATTCAAATCTTACAAGATCATAAATATGATCAAGAATGAAACAGCAAGATTTAAGTATAATAGTTTTCATATACAAACGTCTTTAATTTAGTATCAATGGGAAAATGAGCTGGTTATAAATTTGTTTGGTGGTCACAGGCTTTGTAGTTCCTATAGTTCCCGATACATTTTACTAAGAAAAGATTCTGCCATTTGAATTCTTTGACTGCAAAAATAAACATGCATCATATGAAACTAATAAAGATGTAAGCTTTCTTCACAGTTGCAAGCAACCCTGGATTAGCTAAATAAAAACTTGTAAATATGTAATAAGACAGTTACGAAATACTCTGGAGTAAAATGCTCCTAAGCAGGTCAGAAGCAGAATGGGAATGCACATGTAACATTGTAGAAGTGTCCTGAATCCCTTTCGGGGTCCACATGACCAGAAAGACCAACAATCCTCCTTGGTGACATCACCATTATTTCACCATCTGGAAGCAGCTCCAAGTAGACCCTTGGCAGAGCTTTTCTGGCAACATTACTTCTGGTGAGGTAACAAGGCACCTAACCATATGATCACCAGAAGCAATGGCTCCAGCAAGGCATGCTTCTAGTCAGTGACAAAGCAGTAGGTCTGTTTGACAAGTGAATACTGGATGGGACTGGATCTAGCTGTCCACACCTTGATAAACACTAGGATGACTCCAAAGCTTCTAGGGAGTGCCAGAATAAATCCTGGTTCTCCTTTTTCCTGAATTAATGGCTGGAAACAGCACTTCTGCTATAAAGGCAACTGTATATTATGTTTACTCACTACAGCAGTTGCAAAGTGAGGCCACTTGGTTTGACCCATGTAGACATAGTTGGCAAGCAGACAAAGGAGCAGACAAAGACAGCTTTTTCCATCCCATTTTAATACCTTGCTAATAGAACAGGGAACCGCGAGAATTGCATCCTACTTCTACTTTCAGCAGAAGCAGTAAAAAAACTAAAGGATGTCACAGTTTGTTTATTATGCTATATAAAACCAGCTGCCATTTTCATTTGTTTCTCTTCAAACAAACCTTAAGTTGCTGACCATAAACAAACCTAAAACAAAGCACGGATTCCATATCTGGTTTACTGGGAAGGAAACAAACCAGAGTAGTAGCTGCATCTGGGTTTGCACTGATAAATCACAGAGCAATGCTCTTAGTCACTCCTGCAGTAAGAAGGAATGGTTAAGTAGTGTGCACTGGTACACTAGTTGTTCATGATAAGCCAGGGTTCTTACAGATCCCTGGATTATTCTGTAAAAATGTACCTCTTTTGCTTGTTATAAAAAACTTACACAAAACCAGTGTGTCTCAGTCTGGGTAAAGGTTTCCCCTTGATATTAAATCTAGTCATGTCCGGCTCTGGGGGGTGGTGCTCATCTCCATTTCTAAGCCAAAAGGCTGGTGTTGTCCATAGATGCCTCCAAGGTCATGTGGTTGGCATGACTGGATGGAGCGCTGTTACCTCCCTGCCGACGTGGTACATATTATCTACTCACATTTGCATGTTTTCGAACTGCTCAGTTGGCAGAAGTTGGGGCTAACAGTGGGAGTTCACTCTGCTCCCCGAATTCGATTTCAGTCAGCAAGTTCAGCAGCTAAGTGGTTTAACTCACTGTGCCACTGGGGGCTCCCTGAGTATTCAACTGGAAGCCAAATTTGAGCCAGGAAAAATGAGCAAATGAATATGCACATTTAGGAGGAACATACAAATGAACTGATTTAAAGTAGAAATGCTTGTATGCAAATGTTTCAGAATATATACCCCCAAATATATTTTGATGTATGCATTTAGGATGATAGAATATAAACTATTAAATTGACGTTGTTTTTTAAGGAAACCATGCGACTTGTAACTTTGTGAGGAATATCTTTTAGAGATTCCTAGCTTACTGACAGAAAGATTAATGTTAAAGTTTCTTAGCCTATACTGGAAAAGCGTAATACTTTAGCCTACTTCAGTTTGCCACGTTTGAGGATTTGTATCTTCAATGTAACTAACAAATCCATCTCAGCATTTGACATAACATTTCACAATAGACAAGGTAACAAAGTGACTGACTTGCATTGTACTGGCAGATCCACACAGCTGCCAATTCCCAGCCCTTCCTGTATTTGCTCTTACTCATAGTCTCACAGACTTTTTGAAAACAGGATTATATATATAAACTGTCATTTAATTGACAAGAACCCACACTATATCCCTAAAGCTCTCTTTACCTTTCTCCACCTTTTCCACTCTTTACCTTTGCCCAGGCTGAAGATAAATGGCTCATTCCTGTCACGGCTGGAATCAAACTTTTTCCCATTGGCAAGCTTTCCTTTGTAGTGAACATAAACCTTGTCTCCAATCATTGGAGATTCATCTTTATTTCCTGGCCTCTTCACAATCTAGAATGAAGATATGAAACATGAAGTAGAGAGGGGCTCATGTGTAGTGTCAAACACCTCCAAAGGGTCATCAATCAAGTACCGAAGTGTGTAAACGTAGGTTCAGTATCCAAATATAAAAAAGATAGGTACGCTGAAAAGCAATCATGAGGTTGTAAGAAGACAGCTACATAAGGACAATATCAGAGAAACTGATACAACTTCCGGTTCAATTGTCCTTAACGTTATTTAAGACTCAATTTGCTGTACTGGTTGATTTAAAAAAAACCTTGATGTTAAGGGTTATTCATATCACAAAAAATGTATTGCAAGGGAACTGTCAATCAGCATTTATTACTAAATATTGTACACCCTATTTCAGAGGAAGGCAATAGCAAACCATTGCTTGTCTAAGAAAACTATGTGAAATTCAATTCAATTCAAATCAAATCATTTATTTCGGTCATTGACCAGCACAGGAAATAGAGTCACATTTTCATACAAACTTGGTATGTTTGGTACATTAAAAATATAAATATAACTACTGAAGCACAATATGGGTGAGGGAGCGGAAGTGAAATTCATGAGTTGACAAGTGACTCAAAGGCACATACATATTCTGGATAGGAAATACTAAATGTTTAATAAATAAACATATCATTTGGATGCAGCATTTGTTTTATTAATGAAATAAAAATGGATAAAGTCTATGAGGTCGCCTTCTCCCATACAATCTGCCCCCAACACTGAGTTCCTTTAGGGGGCATCTGCTCCAGCCTACCAGAACCCAACTGGTTATCACCACCCAGAGGATGTTTTCATTGGTTGCCCCAAGACTGTGGAACAACCCACCAGTAGAACTCCAACAGCTAGATCAGGTGTTGGAATTTAAGACACAAGTGAAGAGCCATTTATTCCGGCAGGCCTACCCAGAAAGTTTTAATGACAAATTTTAAACTTCCATTCTATGTCTAATTTTTGTTTTGTGCATTTTAATATTTATTTTTTGGAAATATGTTTTAATATGTGTATTCTAAAGAGTGTTTTTAAATGATTATATGCTTTGGAAATAATAATAGTAGTAATAATAATAATAATAATAATTATTATTATTATTATTATTATTATACAAGGTTGTTTTCAAATTAACACAATGGTTGTGTTTTTTCAGACATGCCCTAAATAAGCTGCTGCACAAATGTTACCAAAGCATATCTGAGATCCTGTTGGTTTGTTCTTGGTTCCTTTAAGTGAGACCTCTTACTCCATCGTATGATGAGTAGCAAAGATTCATGGCTGTACCTCGCATGACAGGAAGCGTTGTCCTCAGTGGGGAGTTGGGCTGTAGAAGGAATGTTTAGATAAGATTTTCTCCTTATAGCCTTACCTTCAAAACTCCTCGATCCTTGGTTGGTGTGATGTCCTCGCCTTGTTCAACAAGAGTAGCTGTTGGGACATCTCCTTCCTTCTTTGTAGCCTCATCAGTTGTCATGTTTTCATTTCACAGGCACTGCCTTTGCAAAGGAACACACAGGCACAAAAGCTGAATATTAGTCACTCATCCTATTAAAATTCCAAACAATACAGTAAAATACAGTGGGTCATCCATATACATGTATTCTGAATTCACAGGTCAAAACAGCCATGAGTTGAAAATATCCCTCCCGCACACGAAAAAATCCAGAAAACAATCTTTGATTTTGCCATATTATGTAAGGAACACCATTTTACTATACCACTGTATATAATTGAACTTGAGTATCCTGGAACCAAAGCCCAGTAGATGCCAAGGGCCCACTGGACTATCTATCATGTCAACATGATAACACAGCATTGTAATAATGGAGTGATTATACTACACCATATCTATAATATGTGTAATCAAGAAATGAATGACACAGAACTGAAAAGCAACACAAACACATAGCAGAAGATTTGAATAATATGACTGTGAAACTGCCCCTAACAATCAAAAATAAAATAAATAGCAGCACAATTCTTTAACTGGAAAAAAAAACATTGTATACAAATGGAAAGAAAAGGCATTTCAGCTTTTGAAAATAGTGGATTTTTGAGAAATCTAATAAAGTTGGCTCTGCTGACTTTTTTCTTAGAAATAATGCTTCAAATATTGGGGAAGATTTTTTTGCCTTTGTTAGGGAGTAAGGCTTGTTATAAACCACTTCCTCTTTATAAATATTTTATATGCAAAATGGAAAAGGTCAAACTGTTGTAAACTCATAAGCCTGAAAGCTAACGTAAGTGTTACAACACCCTTGCTACACTTCAAAAACATACCTTCCCATGATGAAAGATCTTATGTGACATTCAGATCTATCTTCACAAAAGGAGCATGTGTTTTGGTGTGGAGATACTCCATATATTTTAGTTGTCACATGGGGAAACTGTATACAACATTTAAACTGACTTCTCCTAATAGGTGGCCTATTTCTAACTTAAATTTAGGAGAGTATAAATTGCAGGTTTAGGATAATGCTACATAAGAAATAAATGTGCAACAGCACCACTCATTAATTTGTTCACCTAGTATGAGGACATGCTCCTAAACAAGCAAGAATTTGTCTCCTAAAATTAGTGACTGAAAATGCCCTGCCTTTTCCCAGAGTTCAATGTTTTACTATTCCCCCCCCCCCCACAGTTCTATGTCCTACTACAGATTATCTTTGAATTACTTCTGCCATAAGTTTTCTAGACTTCTGCAAGCCCAATGGAAGACAAAATGCATTCTATTTCTTTCAGTACAAGGGTTATGTACTTGGTACTTCTGATATTGCTGGATATGGACCATGTTAGAACCTGCTCCTGTCTGGTCTTCCTCATGTTATATTGTTGTTGAGCCATAGCACCCCTCCCCCAAAAAGGATTTATAGTACACCAAGAGACTTCAAAGTAAATAATATTTTTCTTTTTTATTTAAACCTTTTCCATGGACACGGAGTTGTGAAATGTTAAAGCACTAGAGGCCCTGGAATGGACCTAGCAGCAGCTGTACCTTATGAACGCTATCATTATTTATTATTTTTATTTATTTACATCACTTATATCCCACCCATATCAGCCCGCAGGCGACTCAGGGCGGTCTACATATCAGCACAATTCGATGCCATCAATACAATACAAAAGCAAAAACAATTAAGTGCATTTAGACAAAAAAGACAGTGCAATAACAATTTAAAAAGAGCTATATCCTCTCATTCCAATCCTCGTCCATTTCATCGTCTTGGCCGTTCCTGGGTCATTCTCCATCTCAAGCTTGACTTATCTATTCCGGGGTTCCGAATGCCTGCTCGAAGAGCCAGGTTTTCACTCTCTTATGAAAGGTCAGGAGGGAGGCGGCTGATCTAATATCCCTAGGCAGGGAGTTCCACAGCCAAGGGGCCACCACAGAGAAGGCCCTGTCTCTCGTCCCCGCCAAGCGTGCTTGCGAAGCAGACGGGATCGAGAGCAGGGCCTCCTCAGATGATCTTAACTTCCTGGAGGGTTCGTAGGAAGAGATGCGTTCGGATAGGTAGGCTGGGCCAGAACCGTTTAGGGCTTTATAGGCTAAAGCCAGCACTTTGAATTGGGCCCGGTAGCAAACTGGCAGCCAGTGGAGCTGGCGCAGCAGAGGAGTTGTGTGCTCCCTGAGCGCCGCTCCTGTTAGCAACCTGGCTGCTGCACGCTGGACCATTTGAAGCTTCCGGGCCGTCTTCAAAGGCAACCCACGTAGAGAGCGTTGCAGTAGTCTAGGCGGGATGTAACCAGAACGTGGACTACCGTGGCCAAGTCAGACTTCCCAAGGTACGGGCGCAGCTGGCGCACAAGCTTTAGCTGTGCAAATGCTCCCCTGATCACCGCCGAAACCTGGGGTTCCAGGCTCAGCGATGAGTCCAGGGTCACACCCAAGCTGCGAACCTGCGTCTTCAGGGGGAGTGTAACCCCATCCAACACAGGCTGTAACCCTATGCCCTGTTCGGCCTTTCGACTGACCAGGAGTGCCTCTGTCTTGTCTGGATTCAGTTTCAATTTGTTAGCCCTCATCCAGTCCGATACAGCAGCCAAGCACCGGTTCAGGACCTGAACAGCCTCCTTAGTAGTAGGTGGGAAGTAGTGACAGAGTTGGACATCATCTGCGTACAGATAACACCGCACCCCGAAACTCCGGATGATCTCCCCCAGCGGCTTCATGTAGATGTTAAACAACATGGGGGACAGTATAGAACCCTGCGGGACCCCACAAGACAATGGTTGTGAGGTCGAGCAGTTGTCCCCCAGCAACACCTTCTGGGTACGACCCTCTAGGAATGACCGGAGCCACTGCAAAACAGTACCTCCAAGACCCATCCCTGCGAGGCGTCCCAGAAGGATACCGTGGTCGACGGTATCGAAGGCCGCTGAGAGGTCCAGCAGAACCAACAGGGACACACTCCCCCTGTCGAGCTCCCAGCGCAGATCATCCACTAAGGCGACCAAGGCTGTCTCGGTACCATGTCCCGGCCTAAAGCCAGACTGTGCCGGATCCAGATAATCCGTGTCTACCAAGAATACCTGGAGTTGTGAGGCCACCACACGTTCCAGGACTTTGCCCAAAAAGGGGAGATTGGAAACAGGCCGATAGTTGACGAATTGAGTGGGGTCCAGTGATGGTTTTTTCAACAGCGGTTTTATTACAGCTTGTTTTAAGCTCTGCTGGAATTTTGCCTTCCCGAAGGGAGGCATTAACCACCACCTTCACCCACTCGGCCAATCCCCCTCTGGCCTCCTTTAGAAGCCAGGATGGGCAGGGGTCTAGGATGCATGTGGTTGCCCTCATTCCTCCAAGTATCTTGTCCACATCCTCGGGTTTCACCAATTGAAATGAATCCATCAAAATCGGACAAGCAGGTGCTCGTGTTACATCCTCAGAGACCGCCGTTAACATGGTATCCAGGCCAGAACGGATCAAAGCGACTTTGTCCGCAAAGAACCGAGCAAATGCTTCACAGCGGGCCATCGAGTTGTCAGGGTTCCCATCCGGAATGGTGGGATTTAATAGACCTCTGACAACTCGAAACAACTCAGCCGGACGGTTCTTTGCGGACGCAATAGTGGCCGCAAAGAAGGTTTTCTTTGCGGCTTTTATTGCCGCGGCATATGCCCTTAAAAAGGACACAAACCGTGTTTGATTTGGCTCGCTCGGATCCGAACGCCACACGCTCTCTAGTTCCCTCTTCTTTCGCTTCAACGCTGCCAGCTCCTCGGTGAACCAAGGAGCTGGTTTAGCTCGGCTACTTGAGAGGGGACGTTCTGGAGCGATCGTGTCTATTGCCCTAGTCATCTCCCCATTCCAGAGGGACACCAGGGCATCAACAGGATCACCAACCGAGGTGGCGGGAAAATCCCCAAGAGCCGTCAGGAATCAATCTGGATCCATAAGTCTCCTAGGGCGGACCTTCTTAATGGGTCCTCCACCCCTGCAGAGGTTATGGGGTGCAGTGAGTCTAAACCTGATCAGGTGATGGTCGGTCCATGGCAATGGAGTAATAGATAACTTCTCAATACTGCCACTGTCCTCCCATCCCTGGCAGAAAACCAAATCCAAGGTGTGTCCTGCACTGTGAGTAGGGCCAGATACCATTTGGGACAGCCCCATGGTTGCCATGGAAGACATGAAGTCCTGAGCCGCTCCTGATAGGGTGGCCTCAGCGTGGACATTGAAGTCCCACAGCACAATAAGCCGTTGAGACTCCAACGCCAGGCTCGAGACCAACCCAGCTAGCTCAGATAGCTCTTTAATAACATGTACCAATTTGACAATTTTTGTATAACTTGTATATTTTATGTAATGTGTCATATCCTAAAAATATAAACTGCATAAGCTCTATCAGATGAAAATGTATCAAAAGGTATCTAAAAGAGCTACCTCTCTATGTTTTCCATTTGCATAATCCCTTTAGAAAGGAAATCACAGGGTCCCTCTAGCTCAGTGGTTCTCAACCTGTGGGTCCCCAGATGTTTTGGCCTTCAACTCCCGAAATCCTAACAGCTGGTAAACTGGCTGGGATTTCTGGGAGTTGTAGGCCAAAACAACTGGGGACCCACAGGTTGAGAACCACTGCAGCTATTTCCCAAGACAGACCAATATCAAAGATTTTGTGTGTTTGTGTGTGTGTGTGTGTGTGTGTGTGTGTGTGTGTGTGTGTAGATAAATGATCCTCTTTGACACCAGGGTAGGCTCAGGATGTTTGTTCATTCAGCTTGAGGCTGAGAGTGTGCCACTCCTGTGGAAGAGGAGACTCAGCAAAAATGAATACATTAACTCTCTACAAAAGCAGCTAAGCTCTTGATTGTCTGGAATCAACACCTTTGTCTTTTGAATCTTGACTTTGGTTTAACACGGAACTGGACACTTGACTTAATCAGGGACTCATCAGCATATCCACACCACCATTTCCTCGTGGACTGAGCCTTCCCAGGGGATGTCCCTGCAACTGATTGGCTTTTTGAATTGACCAACAACCAGCTGCCACAGAAA